CATTTATTACAGAATTTAGCTGTGTTTATATGAGATTAGCTTTGTGCTTAATAAAACAAACAAGATGTTATTAATGTAGTTAATAGTGAAGGTGTTGTAAGTGAGAACTGTGTGAATCATTTGCTTGTTTGGAAAGCATTTTAAGTCTATTTGGCTTTAGATCTTTATCTGTTGTTGAATTTAACTGTTTTCGTATTGGAATAGCTTTGTCCCAAATAAAATGGAACAAACAATGTGTGAAAGCAACATATTGAAAAACAAGAAAAGCACCCTGAAGCTGAATTTGATAGATGTTGCAAGTGAAAATCATTTGTTTGTTTACAGTATTTGGCTTTAGATCTATATCTGTTGTTGAATTCAACTGTGTTCAAATGGAAGTAGATCTGTGATAAATGAAAGGAACAAAATGTTGTGAACATTTTGAACATTAATAAAAACGAGGAGAACGAGGAGAGGAGAACTAGAAAAATATTTTGAGTTTATTTTGCTTTACACTTGTATCTATCTGCAATTTTTTTTTATGGGATTATTTTTGTTCCAAATAAAACAAACACTCTTTGTGAAATCAAACAAACATATACATAAAAAATGATGAAACACTTTAAAAAATAAAAGCAATCAACTAAATAGCAAAAAAAGTAATCATCATCAAATAAACTGCTTTCTTTGTTGACTTTATTTCAGCTTATCTTTTGCTAAATGCAGTTTTGAAAGGACTACCAGTGTTCATTTTCGCTTTCCAAGATTGCTTTTGCCATTTCGAAACAAACTTCTCTTGAATGCAGGCTTAGTGCAGCAGAACCTTTTGTATTTGTCACAAATCTGATCTCTTATTTTCAAGTTTATAATCGGATAATCATTTTAATTTTGCATTTGTGTCACACAAAATATAAGTAGTTACGTTTTCACACTGTTTTTTTTTTACTATCTTCAAGTATAGTTAGATGTACAAATAATGTAAATATTTTTAAAATGTGGAAAACATATTTCTCAACTACATCTTAAAAGGCATAATTGACTTTTTCATTTGTCACATAGCAACAAATAATGGAACATTACATTCAATTGACTTACTCATTGTGTAGGAAGTTAAATACATAGTAAATCATATGAAGAATAGACAAAGTTGCATCATTATGTGTAATATAGTCGTAAATCATCATTTCAATAAGCTTTCTGTTTATGTTATGCAATAGCAATTTTGTTTATGCAGACTAATATTACAGAGCACAGGCCCCAGTAGGCCAGGTCTAGAGGATTTTGTGGAAAAAATAAAAACTAAAGACTGGTTGAGTGACCAAAAATAGTATCCGGCCACATAAGCCACACACAATTGATCCATTTTATTGCATTGGATGATAAAATATAAAGTCAAGTGGCTTCTGCAGACAAAATTCTGCTAGAGGTTTTCCCAGAAGTAACATACCTTTTTCTGAGGCACTTTTTGCAATGACTTTTAGTTTTGGAGGTCAGTTCTGCTCAGGTTTACACAGGCTTGTGGTTTAACTGTGGAGATATTTCTTAAATTTTACATTTATGTGTATTTATCAAAACTAATAACCCTTTACGACAATGTTTCATTTATTTAAATTAGCTAATTCTATTAATTGATATGTTAATTTTATGTTGTATTTTTTTAATAACTGACATTTATAAAGGTTTCTTTGTTGCAATGACCAAGCATACAAAGATATTAAAGATGTAGAACTACTAGTGTTCTAGACCATTATTTCAAAGTAAAAATGCATGGTAACACTCCACATAAACATTATTGCATGTCTAATTAAGATGTAAACAGTTTTTTTTTTGAACATCATTATTTATATTTAGTCTTCCCCAGACTACTCTCATTAAGGGTATGACTTTTGGAGTCTGAGATATATTGAACTGACATCAAATAGAGCTCTAAATTTGGAAATCATGAGCTTGTCAGAGTTACTTTCTTTATTATTAATATTTAAATGAACTATGGCTGGTGGCGCAGTGGGTTGCACTGTCACCTCACAGCAAGAAGGTAACTGATTTGAGCCTTGGCTGGGTCAGTTGGCATTGCTGTGTGGAGTTTGCATGTTCTCCCTATGTTTGTGTGGGTTTCCATCGGGTGCTCCAGTTTCCCCTACAAGTCCAAAGACATGCGCTATAGTTGAATTAGGTAAGCAAACTCGTCCGTAGTGTATGTGTGTTAATCAGAATGAATAGGTGTTTCCCAGTACTGGGTTGCAACTGGAAGGGCATCTGTTGCGTAAAATATATGCTGGATAAGTTGGTGGTTCATTGCGCTGTGGCAACTTAGTCGAAAAGAAAATGAATGAATGAATAAATGAACTATCTTTTTGAAGGATTGAAATAACAGAGTACCTGCAATGCATCCATCCTTCAGAGTAGTCAATTTTAATTTATAAGCTGTTTTATTTAGAGATATCCTATTAGTTTCATGCATTAGTTTACAAATATAATTCTATAATTCATTTTTAAAACATGTGATGATTAACTGGTTGTTATTGGAATTATTTGTCATAATTTAAAATAAAATTAAAGTTTGCTCACTATATATTCCAAACAACATTCCAAACAATTATGATTATATGATGATACTTTTATGAGTATAACCTTTATGACCTTTATAAACACAAAAGAAGATTTCTTCGACGAAAAACCAGTTATCATTAACATCGATTGTATGAAAAACAAATACTATGGAAGTAAATGGTTTCCAGCTTTCTTGGAAAAATTTTGAAAATTGCAATGCGCGATTCTGCAATAGTCACATTGCAGGATCTGTGATGTCAAGTTGGGATTATAATTAACCAGAAAACACAAAATTTTACTTGGATGCATTTTTAAAGGTTCAAGACACCCTGGAGTACTTAAAAAAATAATTGACAGATTTGTGTGTGTTGAGCATCAATTAAGACAATGTTAGCACCTGTCAGCTTTAATTGTGGAGAAAACTGGATAATTTGGTGCATTTGTCAGCTAATTTCATATTCCGGGTTTAAAATAATTTTTGGGGTGGGATCAAAATCATTGACGTAGTGCGAATCTGCTAGTGGAGTGATGATGCGTTGGTTTCTCATTATTATTTATAGCTGAGTTGTGTTATTGTGTTGTGTTCACACATGTTCACACATGTTTCTCCAGGTTACCGGCAGGGTTAATGTTTGAAATAGACCTGCTGCACTGCTATCCACTGTGTCTGCATTCAGTCCTCTTCATTTAGAAGTTTGAATAAACACGATAATCTTTATAATGATATATGAAACTACTTGTACAATCAAAACTATGTAGTTTTTTTTTTACATTTGATTATTGAATGTGTAGCTCAATACTGTCAGACTCCACCAAAAACCTTAAAATTATGTTTATTTCCTATTTATTTTTGTTCTACGATTTTCATCTGTGCTTTAATTTGTTTTATTTAGTATATTTTTGGATAATTTTGTATATTTTATGCAGATACACTCTCCTAGAAAATCATCCCAAGCAGTGAAAAACTATAAATTCCTTCCAAAAAATTACTATTTAAGTCATATCATAAAATTTTGTTCATATCATTATATATATAAGGCAAGGCAAGGCAAGGCAAGGCAAGTTTATTTATATAGCACATTTCATACACAGTGGAAATTCAAAGTGCTTTACATAAACAGGAATAAAAAAGACAAGTTTAGGAACATAAAATGCAGACAATAAAAATTATTAAAAACAGATAAAAACAAATTAAAATGAGTTAAAATAGGTTATAAAAGAATGAAAAAGAAAACGAAAAACATAATAGTGCGATCTGTCGGAGGCAGCACAGTGCTCATTCAGTAAAGGCACAGCTAAACAGATGTGTTTTCAGTCTTGATTTGAATGTGCCTAATGTTGGAGCACATCTGATCATATCTGGAAGCTGATTCCAGCAGCGAGGGGCGTAGTGGCTGAAGGCAGATTCACCCTGCTTAGACTGAACTCTTGGAACTACTAGTTTATATGATCCTAAAGATCTGAGTGATCTGTTAGGTTTGTATTCAGTGAGCATATCTGTAATGTATTGAGGTCCTTGGCCATTTAGTGATTTATAGACCAGTAATAATACTTTAAAATCTATTCTGAATGTAACTGGGAGCCAGTGTAGAGACCTGAGGACAGGTGTGATGTGCTCTGATTTCCTGCTTCTGGTCAGAATTCTGGCTGCAGCATTCTGGATGAGCTGCAAGTGTCTGACTGTCTTTTTGGGAAGGCCAGTGAGGAGTCCATTACAGTAATCCACCCTGCTGCTGATAAAAGCATGAACAAGTTTCTCTAAGTCTTCACTGGAAACAAAGCATCTGATTCTTGCAATATTTTTGAGATGATAGTATGCTGATTTACTGACTGCTTATATATATATATATATATATCAGAAATACAAAATATTGCAATGTCAGTTTTTTCCAGTATTGTGCAGCCCTAGTGTGATTAAATGATGACAGAATTAATTTTCTTTGTGATCTCTTTAAAAAACAACAGCATTCATATAAACTTATTTTTTAGCATGTATTCATGTTTTGAACTATTTTTTGGGGCCACTGCATGTGTTCTTGAACGTCTGGCTTGATGAGATCCTCCACCTGTTTTGATGCAGCAGGTTTGTGCTCATTTTGCCTCCCACTGACACGGCATCTGTTGATTTGTCTGGAGGGTCCTTATAGCCCACATAGAAATGAGGACATGCTCTTATTGTTCAAGGCAAAACCAACCTCCTGCCCTTTTTTGATCTGTCTGCTCCATGTCAGCTCCAGATTTAAAGAAGTAGTTCATGGAAAATGAATGTTCTGCGATTTATTTAGTCTCTCGAAAAACCTTAAGACTGTCTTTCATCCATCGATATGTACAACATTTCTAAGCAGTCAGTGTTTTGCATTAGATTTTCTCTGTTTAGTCCCTACTGACATGAATTTAATCTCTGTTTATATCCTCTCTTTCTCTTTCTCTCTCTCTCTCTCTCTCTCTCTCTCTCTCTCTCTCTCTCTCAGCTCGGTGGCCATGTCTAAGGTTGCAGTAAAGAAGCTGCACTGGCGGTCCAAAGTGCAGGAGAACTTCGTCCCACTGGTCGGCTCTGGAGAGTTGGGGATAGCCATCGGGGGCGGGGCCGATTATGGAGAATTCCCATTCGTCACGGCTGCACCAGGGGGCGGGATCACAGTTGGCGATATCATCTTAGAAATTGGAGGGACTCCTGTTTTGGGCCTGACTTTAGGAGATGTGCGTGGACTTCTCAACTCCTGCCCTCATCCGATCCGCATCAAGACTGTTTCTCCAGGTAATGATTGAGCATAACATTGTCACTGCACTGGTATTAACATGGATTTGAGGTCTCTAAATCATAGTTTTCCTTCAGTTCTTTAAGATTGTTAGTGGTTCTTGATATTTTGAGCATCAGAATTATTTTATTTATTATTTTATAGATCTCATCAGTGTTCGATATTTACATTGATGATCATGGGTTTTTTGGCAATGTTAGTTTGTGTAATGCATGCTTCAGTGAATCAAATTTATGTATATTTAAATTTTAATTTAAATGATATCTAATTTATTAATAAAACTTAAGATTGTTTCAGTGATTTGTGAAATATTTATAGTATTCTGACCTACAGTATTCTCTGATTAGCTTCAGAGGTTATCAAAGGTCAAACTATGCATCTTTACTGTATTTTTTAGGCTATACTGTAGAAACACTATGTGTTTAGTCTATGTAGAAACAAAGACCTGTTTTCAAAAGAACTGTCATGTGAACACTTCACAATGTCTATTGGTGCTCTAGATCTTCGGTTTCAGACTCTTGAATTCATTGTTTCTTGCATAGATTGATTGGAACTTTCATGCATTGACAAAGGTACTGTTATAGGGGTGGTCAAATGTAAACTTATATGATCTGTTAGGTCAGAGATGGTACATTCCACTGTGGCGACCCCTGAAAAATTGAATGAATGAATGTTAGATCAGAAAAAACTATTTCCTACTGTTAAAGGGCTGTACCCTACATACCTCTTGTTTTGATGTCCTTCATGTGGGAAAACGAGTTAATTAGGTGGGTCAATCCCTCACCAAACCCCCAGTAATTTACATTATTCTCACAACCTTCTCATAGGTTCTCATAAACATATTTATCCTTTATTTTAGCAGGATAGTCCCATTTAGATACAAGATCTCTTCTTCTAGAAAGTCCAACCAAAATGGCTGCACAAAAAGTTTTGTACTAAAACACATGTAAACAAAATAAAACAAATGCAATTGAGCTATGTTCTCATAAGACAAATATTAGAAACAAAGAAAGAAAATAGAAAGAAACAAAGAAACAAAGAAAAAGAAAGAAAAAAAAATAGATAGATAAAAAATATTTTATATTTAAATTTTATAACAAGTACATGTTCCCTTTACAACAGAGCCATACGACTGAAGGATACTTATTTATTTATTTATTTATTTATTTATATAACAGTGGGAGTTTTGCCGAACTCTGAATAAACTCTTGGAACATGTATAAAAACTATAAACTAGTAATTTACCTAATATTCTTTTGTGATAAACAGCAGCATATTCACTTTCCTTCGTTGTATGAAATTATAGGGTTTATCTCGTTGTATTAATGTAAAATGTGTGTGAAAGTGAAAAAGAAATCCAAATTTTAATCTTAATGTTTTTCTATACGTATGTACAATCCCAGTTTGTCATCTAACCATATACTGATATATATATTTTTTGCAATAGATTAAATTTGTAAAGTTAAAGTTCTGTTAGTTGATCTGTTTTAGTGCAACAATTTCATTTTATCCAAATTTAAAACCAAATTTAAGTTGGTCATTGACAGTCTTAAAAACTTAATTATTTCCTGCAAGAGATTGATTCATTGAAATTCATTGAAAGGTACAGGAGCTGTCACGTGGGCAGTACCTTTTCAAAAGGTACATATTTGTACCTGAAGGGTTCATAATGGTACTTCAAAGGTACTTTTTAGGTACATTTGGGTACTAATATGCACATTTTAGTTACCACTGTTGAATATTTGGGTACAAATATGTATCTTATAAAAAGGTACTGCCCCAGTGACAGCTCCTGTACCTTTATTTTTGAGAGTGTATACATAATTGTGCCTGAATATAATCAGAATTTAAATTAATTCCAGCTGAGGTTTCTCCACAACCAAGGTCATTAATAAATAATAAAACTGGTGCTAAAATAGAGCCCTGTGGGATACCCTTTGTCATTTTCTCTTCATTTGAAATAATCTTTTCAACTGAAACCCACTGAATCCTTAACTTAAGTTGAAGCTCTGAATATCTACAAACCACCAATAACAAACATTGCAGCTACCTAGCAACATGCTAACAACCACTGAAATAATCTCAGCATTTGCATAGTCTCTCTTTTACAAATGGACTGCAATTCAATAAACAAAATTAAGAAAATAATCATAATTCAGCAACTATGCATTAAAGTTTTCCAAAAGTGATAGTAAAATACATTAATGAAGATACAAAAGATTTCTGTTTCAGTTAGACACTGGTTTGTTGAACCTTCTAGTCAAGGTTTCCACAAAAATGCAGTAAGAGCAGCAAACAATCCTATTAGAATACTTTCTAAAGGATCCTCATTAACTACTGAAATATAGCTGCTAAAAATTCATTTTTACAAAACTTACCATTTATTATTTTTATCATCTATCAGTTTTTGTTTGTTTGTTTGTAGAATGATATTGATGTATTACTATAGTGTTTATTACAGTTTTTATATTGATAGTTTTCAGTAGATTTTTTTTATTAGAGTTGGAGCTAAACTTTGCAAGACACCGGCCCTCCAGAACCTAATTTGCCCACCCCTGATGTAAATCGATGCTCTCAAACTCAATTCCTGGAGAGCCACAGCTCTGCACAGTTTAGCTCTAACACACACCTGCTTAAATATTTCTAGTAGTCTTTTGCTGTTTCTCAATATGTGTTCTTCAGCGTTCTTGTGTCATCGTGTTCTCGTCATCATCAACTGCTAAAGTTCAGTTCCAAAACTCAAGACCGCAAGAACAGAGGACGCATGAAAGTTCTCGGATGTGATATCGAGGACACGTCGATGCAGACTTGAGCGCAAAACTCACTCGAGATGTCCCAGAAGTCATTGCGGCTGAATTAAGGAGATAGGAAGTGCAGCATTTTATATAAATTTATTCATTTATTCATTTAAGTTCAAAGATATTACTTATTTATCTTAGGAGTTTCCCTAAATGACACGATGAAAGTAAACATTACCATGAATATCTTTAAAAAGACATAAACACATTAAAGCCTTCCTTACACTGTGAGATTTCACTACCATGATAATCTTTATAAAGGCATAAACACATTAAAAGTGTTTATTCGCAGAAATTAGTATTAAAATTAGTTTTATTTGTAATGTTCAACGTATATTTATAATCTCTTTATTCACAGTATTATATATTTAAATAGAATGCGGCATCTCTTTCCTTACAGGACCCGTTCTGTGTTCTTGCAGTTTCCTCAGTTAATTCTTCCTAGGTAACTTGGCAAGATCGGTCTCCACAAGAACGCAAGTCTGTTCACTGTGTTCTTGGAATTGAAAAGCAGCCTATGGCTGTTCTTCCTGATGGTCACATGACCTTTACTTGTTTTTAATGAAAAATTATTATTATTATTATTATTATTTTTCATAATCCTGGACAATTTTAGCATGTGAGACTGCACGAACATGGCTCCCATGTCACACTTAAGATCTCAGCTGTCATAAAGTCGAACTGAGAGAAACACAAAAGAAATCTTTCACTATCTATCTCTTGGATTGATGCTCATCGTACCTGTTGTCACACTGCAGGGAGGTGTCCGAAATCTTCTGACACTGCTAGAGCTTCATCAGAGGAAAAATCTGATCGTAACTGGCACTAAGCTGCTCTCTGTGAACATGTCAAACCAACGATCAAAGATCACAGATTTTAGCCTAGGATTTCAGGAATCTTTTAGGATTTCCCAAATTTGTCTCAGATGACAAAATTGTGGCTGAAATCTCACAGTGTCAGCATGACTTTAATGTTTTTTTGCCTTTTTAAAGATTTTTATGGTAATGTTTACTTTCACCATCTCATTTAGGAAAACTCTTGAGATAAATAAGTTATATATCTGAACTTTAATAATAAATCTATATAAAATGCTATGCTTCCACTTCCTTTATTCAGCTGCAATGACTTCTGGGACTTCTCAAGCGAGTTTGGTGCTCAAGTCTGCATCGATGCATTCTCAAAATCAAGAACACATCCGGAAACTTTTATGCGTCCTCCGTTCTTGCGGTCTTGAGTTTTGAAACTGAACTTCGACAGTTGATGATGACGTTGAACCTTGATTAGTTGGATCAGGTGTCTTTAATTAGGGTTATAGCAAAACTGTAAAGAGCTTTGGCCCTCCTGCATTTGAGTTTGAGACCTATGATGTAAATTAAAGTATATAAAGTAAATTCACTGTATTCTATATTTAAAACACTTTTTTTCTCATTAGAAACAGGTCCTCCTAACTAATACCTCTATATCAGCTATTCTTAATGTCAAAACAGCATGACATATTCCAACACTAAAACATTATTCCCCGATACATGGCAAAATTCATCTTTGTCAGCTCTTTATATGGAGATTTTGGTCCCTGGTTGCAGGATTGTGGTATTTATGTCACATTGGTCACATGTCACCCCTAGGGGGAGCTGATATTTATCCCACAGTGTCATGACATAGGTGATTTTTTTTTGTCAAACAATATGTCACACCTGACCATGACTTCCTCTGTCCTCTGTTAGATTGATGAGCAAACCGAGTCCTCTATATTCCCTCACCCTTGCCCCTCTCTCTCTCTTTCTCTCTCTCTCCTCCGCTGTTCTCGCATCTCTAACACCTCCAACTACTAACTGCTGAGTATTAAATTGAGCTTTGTCAGTAAGGTTATAATTTACAGTTGTACGTTGCATTAGCTGATGAGAATATCCCATAGGCCTGTAATACGGACTTACGGCTCCTGCTCTGTTATTAATATCATTTTTTTTTATCTGCCTGTGTTTCCTATATAAACAGTGGCCACAGAGAACAGGAGCTGTGTGCTAATTCTGGCACTTCTATTTTAAAATAGATCAATATGTACTGTCCCCGATGAAATACATCCAAAAGCAGTTCTGTTTTTCTAAAGGCTGGAAGGGATCAGAGTGAAAGCTTGAGGATTTAAACGGTTTCATTTCCATTGTTTCTTGCTTCTAATATTCTGCAGGATAATGAATTATTAA